AAAAAAACTCTGGAATCAGAAATCAAAAGGAGATCAGCTAGGCTCCAAGAAAAGGTTTCATCTCAAAATTCCTTCTCTACCCTTCTACAATGAATTTTCTTTTCTGGAATATCAGAGGCCTGGCCTCAAATCTCCCAAGGCTAAATTTCCTTATCAAAGACTTTCAAATCCATTTTTTAGCAATTATGGAACCTAAATGTGATGGCAAAAAACTAACCCATTTCCAACTGGGACTGGGTTTTGACTGTTCTATTCAACTCTGTAACAACCAAGTCTGGGCCTTCTAGAACACAGATCTACTGACTTTAGAATCCTCTTCCAACCACACCCAACTGGGCCATCTCATTTTCACAAGCAAACTCCTAGGATCAAAACTCCATATTTCAGCCATCTATGGTAAACACACCAAGGAAGAAAGAAGGGACCTTTGGAATTGCATCACTACCCTTACTGGGAACATTAATGACCCATGGCTTATTGGAGGGGACTTTAATGCTATCAGCTCAGTATCTCATCACAAGGGTAAGAGCACACCTTGTATGGTCAGTATCATGGAATTTAACAAGTGTGTTGATGGGCCGATAACCAGTGGGCGGCCCAAATGAATCATTTACACAGCCTCGGGTTAAGCACCTGTGAAATACTCAAGCTTGGGCCGGCCCGTGGAGCTGGGCTTAGTTAACTACAGGCCAAGCGTAGCTGGCAGAGTCAGTCCGGAGAAGGAGACGGAGCAGATTGGCCGTTACGAAGCCGGAAAAAGGGGATCGCGCCCTTGGCGGGATAGACTCCATCGATTATGCGTTACCTTAATGGCTTCGAGATCATGTATAAATAGAGGAGACCCGAGAGGGGAGAATTCAAGCTAAATCAAGCTAATAAAACATACTCAATTCTCGAATTCTCATTCTTAATTTTGTTCTTACGATCCGCTTTGTGAATCGGATCATTTGGTGGATTTATTGTCCATCAAATTGGTGCTTTCATTGAGAGCTCGAGAATCATACTCAGAGGAAATCCTCCACAGAGATGATGGTGCAAACACGCAGCAACGCTAACGTAGGTACTGGAGTTCCCCAACAGGGGGAGAACAGCGCCACCAGAGGTCGGAACCCTCCCATCACCACGGGGGAGGCTGAGGCCCTCATTCAGAGGGTCGGGATAACCACCGAGCAATTCAAGGAGGTACTGGCTGCACTTGCACCCAACCGCGAGGTTGTGGTAGAAGACGTGGCTGGAGGACCCACAGGCGGGAAGGCTGGACCTACGGGGTCCCAAGGGAAAAAGAAGAAAGTGAGGCGGTCCCAGAAGAAGAAGGCGACCAAGTCTAATGGGAAGGCTGTGATGGCGGATACACTTTCCAGGCTGGACGAAGAGGACGAGTCGTCCTCCTTCGAGAGGATGTCCGCTTTCGACCGATTGGGAGATCCCAAGGCAAAGAAACCTCGGACCTCTGCGTTCGAACGGTTGCAGGACACTCGGTCGGCCCGGAAGGGCGACTTAAGGGACACGCTTAAGGAGAAAAGAGGAGAATCCACAGCGACCTCCAAGTTCGGCTCTGAGGAGCGACGGGCGATGGTCGAGGACAAGGGCGCAGCCGAGCTATGGAGAATGTACGAGCAACTGGAGAAGCGGCTGGACGCCCAGAACCCCTACCGCCAGGCGGTCTTCAGTGAGGTAACGCCCTTCTCCCGGAGGATAATGTCTTGCCCTCTCCCAGATAATTTCAAAACTCCCCAAATCAAGGCGTACAACGGGACGACTGATCCCCAGGACCACCTTGCTCGCTTCGGGGCTAACGTGGTCATGTACGCGTACCCAGAAGAAATCAAGTGTCGATGTTTCCTGGCGACACTGGAAGGACAGGCTTGTGAGTGGTTCCACAAGCTAACCAAGGGGTCGATAGATAAGTGGAGCGACCTGGCCCACAAGTTCTTGGAGCACTTCGCATCCAGCCGAAGACAGAAGCTCCCCTTCTCGCATCTGCTCAATGTGAAGACCCGGAAGGGGGAACAACTCCGGGAATTCATTAATAGGTGGGAGAAGGAGGCTAGGGACGTCCAAGGGGCGGACGACCAGGCCCTGATCGCCATGCTCCAAGCTGCACTCCCCCAAGGGGATGTGCGCAAGGAGCTGCGACGGAATCCTCTCTCAACCTACCAAGAGATGTTGGCCAGGGCGAAGTACCTGGCGTTGGAAGAAGAAGACGATGAGCCACCAGTCCGGAAGGAGAAGAAAAACGGGCCACCGGTGGCAGAAGGGAAGAAGAGAAAGGACTATGGTAAGGGGCCAAACCCCACCGGGTATCGTGCGAACAGGCATCCCGTTCATGCGGTACAGTCGTTGCCTGCCCCTCCTCATAGTCGGGAAAGCTATGGTGTGCAAGAGGCACCCAAATACTGTGAGTACCACCGTAACAGCACCCACAATACGTCGGAGTGCGTTACGTTGAAGAAGGAGATGGATCAGCTGATTGCAAGAGGGCCACCTCCTCGATCGGACCGACCGTCCTCGGGTAACCGGACCTGGAGGAGGCCATCAGCCCCCACGGCAGCGATCACAGCGGGAGAGGGGCAGGAAGATGGGCGACGACATCTAGGGCGAGATTGTGATGACCTTGATGAAGAGGAAAGGCAAGGTCGCCGACACCTGGGGTGTCGGTTCATCATGGGAGGAAACACGGGAGGAGATTCAGTGTCCTCCCGGAAGAAATGGAAGAACATGGTGTACCTGGCCGAGGTACAGAGGCCGCCGCTGCCTAAGCGGAAGAAGAAGGAACCTCTGATCTTTACAGACGAGGATTATCCCCAGTTCTCAGCCCTCACAGGGACGCTTTGGTGATAAAAGTGGAGATCAATAATGTGGTTGTTCACCGAACTTTAGTCGATACGGGTAGCTCGGTCAACGTTATGCACAGCAACACCTTTAAGGAGCTGGGGTTGTCCTGGAGCAACCTGAAACCAATCCATACACCGCTATCAGGGTTCACAGGGGATACTATTGAGGCTGAAGGTACTATCACGGTGAAGGCCAGGGTGGGAGATGGCACCCACCGGCTCTGGATCGACATGGAATTTATGGTAGTGCAGCTCGACTGTGCACACCATTTGATTCTGCGACGACCAGGGTTGGAGGATCTGGAGTGCGTAATCTCCCCCGCCCACCTATGCCTAAAGTTCAACACTCCCACAGGAGTGGGGGTGGCCAAGGGAAACCAAAGCCTGTCACGGTCGTGCTATGTCAGGGCGACCAAGAGCCAAGCCCGGGTCGACGAGAATGTAAGTACAATCTGCGCTGCAATCCAGAAGGAGGAGGGGCGACCGCGAGCTGAGCCAGCGGAAGAGGTCGAAGAAGTTTCTCTGGACCCGGTTGAGCCAGAGCGGAAGGTGAAGGTAGGTAAGGCCTTACCGCTTGAATTAAAGGAGCAGCTATTGGAGGTCCTCCAAGCATTCAAGGTGCTATTCGCTTGGGGGCCAGAGGATATGCCAGGGGTCGATCCAAAGATCATCTGCCATAGATTGGCAGTGGATCCAACCCACAAGCCGGTCAAGCAGAAGAAGCGTTTCCTTTCCTCAGAACGGAGAGAGTTTGTCACCAAGCAGGTGATCACCCTGCAGTCCATTGGGGACATCCGGGAAGTCCGTTACCCGGAATGGCTGGCAAATGTAGTCCTCGCACCCAAAGGGAATACCTGGCGGATGTGCGTCGACTACACTGATCTAAATAAAGCCTGCCCAATGGATCCTTTTCCTCTCCCCAACATTGATCAGTTGGTTGATGAGACGGCAGGGTGTGAGATGATGAGTTTTATGGACGCATTCAGTGGATACCATCAGATTAAGATGGCCGTGGCGGATGAAGAGAAGACCGCTTTCATTACCCCCAATGGGGTGTACTGTTACAAGGTGATGCCCTTTGGTTTGAAGAATGCTGGGGCTACTTATGCGCGAATGGTGAACAAGCTGCTCGCACCAGTGTTAGGGGGATGCATGGAAGCATATGTGGACGACATGATCGTCAAGTCCAAGCGGACGGAGTCTCATGCCGGCGACTTGGAGAGAGTATTCAAGATAATGAAAAAGTTCCAGCTTCGCCTTAACCCCAAGAAGTGCACATTTGGGGTTCAGGGGGGTAAATTTCAGGGACATATGGTCAGCCGGAGAGGGATCGAGCCTAACCCGGAGAAGGTAAAGGCGATTTTGGAGATGGAGCCCTCGCGAAATGTGAAGGAAGTCCAGCAGCTCACCGACAGGATTGCCGCTCTCAGTCGCTTCTTGTCAAAGATAGCTGATCGAGCGGCTCCTTTCTTCCAGACCATTAGGAAGAATAGAGGATTTGTTTGGACCGAGGAGTGTCAACGGGCTTTTGAAGGATTAAAAGCATATCTCCTATCCCCGCTGGTGCTTTCGAAGCCAGAGCCCGGAGAGACCTTATTCCTATACTTAGGAATCTCTCCTCGAGCTGTGAGCTCGGTGCTTGTGAGGGAGGAGGAGGGCGCACAGCGACCTGTGTACTATGTGGCACGGGTGTTACGAGGGGCGGAGTTGAGATATACAAACATGGAGAAAACCATCTTTGCGGTGGTGTATACGGTAAAAAAGCTTACCCCATATTTTCAAGCCCATCTGGTCCACGTGTTATCACAAATTCCCATTGGAACACTTCTTCGAAGCCCAAATGCTCCATCACGGGTCAGCAACTGGGGGGTGTTCCTGGGGTCTTTTCAGATAGAGTTCAAGCCACGACCGGCGATAAAGGGGCAAGCATTAGCAGATTTCGTGGTAGAATGCACCGCAAGAGAAGTAGGACCTAGCGGAGAGGAACCCGAAGGAAGTTGGTGGACTTTGTACACCGATGGATCGTCCGCGACTGATGCTTCGGGGGGAGGAGTTGTGGCGATATCACCAGAAGGGTTCAAAGCTTACTACTCTGTGAGGTTCCGATTTAAAGTCTTGAACAATGAGGCCGAATACGAGGCACTACTTTGCGGCTTGAGGTTGGCAGCCTCATTAAGAGCTGAGCGGATCCAAGTCCGGTGTGATTCCAAGCTTGTAGTAGGCCACGTCACTGGAGAGTTTGAGGCTAAGGATGAACGAATGAAGAAGTATAGAGACACTGCCCTGGAGTTGCTTAAAGCATTTGGGGCGTACCGGATAGAGCAGGTCCCTCGGGAGGAGAACGCTGAGGCAGATATCTTGTCAAAGCTTGGTCCGGATTCCCCGGATCATATTAAGGCAATGACTCAAGAAGAAGAGTTGCTCGAGCCAAGCATCAGTCCCGGACAAGTGCTGATCATCACACTCAGAGAGGAGCCGGATTGGATTGATGAGATTACTAGGTACATCCTCGACGGGTCGCTACCTACCGACCCAATCGCCGCAAAGGTGGTAAAGCGACGTGCACCCAGCTACACGCTGGAGTGCGGTCGACTGTACAAGCGATCGTACAATGGTACATTGTTGAGGTGCTTAAGAGCAGGAGAGGCTCAGAAGCTGATGGAAGAAATCCATGAAGGAATATGCTCAGCACATCAGGGAGCCTTCACGATGTCCAGGAAGGTAACCCTACAGGGATACTTTTGGGCAACAATTATTAGAGATTGCGCAGAATACGTGCGCAAATGCAAGGTTTGTCAGGAATTCCAAAGGGTGCCGGGGCGACCGGCGACGAATTACACCCCGATCAGTACGGCAATTCCCTTTGCTCGGTGGGGCATTGATCTGGTGGGCATTCTGCCTCGGGGGACCAGGAACAACACATACCTAGTGGTCGCGATCGACTACTTTACCAAGTGGGTCGAGGCCGCTCCTGTGCCGACCATCACTGAAGAGCAGATGAGGATGTTCGTTTCCAAGCAAATCTTGTGCCGCTTTGGGGTACCCCAGCAGATCATCACCGACAATGGAACCCAATTCGAGGCCAGAGGATTCAACGAGTTCCTACAGAGTTGGGGCATAAATCACAGTTATGCAGCGGTCGGGTACCCTCAAACCAATGGACAGGTCGAGAACACCAATCGCACCATCATGGACGGTCTCAAGAAGAAGATAATGGAGTGCAAAAGTGCCTGGGTAGAGGAATTGCCCTACATCTTGTGGACCTACAGAACTACCCCAAGGAAGGCCACAGGTGAAACTCTTTTCTCGCTCACATATGGATTTGAAGCAAGGGCTCCAGCGGAGACCTCATTGTTGAGTTATAGAGTGGAGACATTTAATGCACAAGAGAATGAAGAAAACTTGAGGGCAGAACTGCACCTCATTGACGAGCGAAGGGAAAGGGCATACATGCGGGCAGAAAACTACCGCCGATAGGTCAAGTCATATCACGACCAACAGGTGCGACCAAGGCGGTTCAAGGTGGGCGACTGGGTCCTTCGGAAAAGGCAAGTCAGTCGGCCGACCGATGGAGGGAAGTTTGCTAAAAGCTTCGAAGGGCCATACATCACAAAGGAGGTGTTGGCTGATGGGACGTTTAGATTGCAAACTCCGGCCGGAGGCGACGTTCCTCGAATGTGGAATGCCTCCAACCTTGTCAAATTCTATCAGTAGATTGTATCCCAGCTATGTTTCTCTCTTGAAGTTTAATAAAACTAGCATTCTGGCATATTTTGTCTTCAATTCCCGAAAAAAAAGGAACGACCGAAAGAGATCGCTAAGCCTAAACTGCATGGTGATTCGTGCTAAGATACCCAGTGGTGGGTGAAGCGTCGAACCCTGTCAAGCGACCAAGGTTGAAGACGACACCGAGGCATGAGAGCCCAAGGAAACGGCTAAGTCTGGAACGTAAGGCCTGCTGGTCGCATGAGCGACCAGGGGGTCTGGGAGATATGACGACGCTGAAGGAGGTTAAAATAACCCGGAAATGGCTAAGTCAAAAGAGGCGAGGTATTTTCTGACTTAAGCTAGAGGAAACCTGAACGTTTAAAGTGGGATGCGAAAGAGAAGAAGGTGAAGCTTGTAAATAAACAGGTGACATCAAAATACATTCACAAAAGTGTTCATTACATTTCAAGGATAATCTTTTGCATCTGCTACAGAATGGTTGAGAACAATCTCTACATATGGAGGGATACTGTCCCATATGTTTCTTACAACGAAAAAGAACAATCTAAAGCTTTGTGAGCGGCTGGGGCCCCGAAAGGACAAAAGGGCCTAGGGGGGACAGGCAGGTTTGAAGGGTAGTTCTGCAGCTGTATAGGCAGGCAGAACTCCGATCACCGGCCGTCCAGGACAACCACCTTTCTTCCCCGACGTGGAACAGGGTCGGTCGCCCCCAGCCTCGGCAAAAACCCACCGTCCTTCGAATACCAAGGAAGGACGGAGGGCGGCTCACTTCTTCCAGAACCCCAACCAGCATCACCTAGACGAGGATGGAGATCCTGAGGCCGCTCGAGCTACCCCAGGTCGCCTAGGGGTCTTCCGGGAAGGTGAGTGGCAAGTGGGGCGAGGTAGGGAAGAACCCAGTTCTCCCCCCAACACAACCTCCTCCTTGGGCCTCACCGGCGAGCTGGTACGACTTTCGCTAGTCCACCGCTCAAGACTGGCGTAGTATGCACACTCATGCTCCAGAAGGGGTAGGTGCTCATCTTGAAAACTCTCCCAGGCCATGCATTGCAGGGAATGGAGAGGGCATGGAGCGTCCCAATCAATCCGCCCGTCAGGCAGGCGGTTGGCGGAGAGGGCCTTGTACGCTTCACTGAAGTCGTCATAAGGGTTTGGTGGTCGTGGCGGCGGTTTCACCGATGGCCACTGACGGCAAGGCAATCGGCGGTAGAATTCGTAAGGGTCTAGCCCCCCAGTCATTGGAATTGATTGACTTGGGGGAGGAGGCAGGCTCCAGCGAAGAAGGAGCCGACCCGCCGGAAAGATTCAGAGAAACAGGAATTCCCTCAGACATGGCAAGGATAGAGGAGAAGAAAATATTTGGTGATGGAGTAAAGTAGAGGCCAGGGGGGCTTATAGATAAGCCCGGCGAAGGAACCGAAGAGACGGTCAAGTCTCATGGCAGCTGAACCGATAAAGCATCTTTAAGCCGCGCAAAGGTCCAATCAGAGACTGTGAAGGGCATTGGGTCAGTTGGGCGGCATGCTGGCCAATCCAGAGGTTGGGCCTGGGCGGTTAAGTGGGCCGGAATTAAGAGTTGGTGTAACACCCCAACCCGCATAACCCGGATAAATAGATTAGCGAACCGGGTTGCTACTAAATTGGTAACCACATACAATATTTTAGAATAAATAAAAACATTTAATTTAAAAACTAAATAATACAAACCGTTTAAATATTATCAGAGTTTATACAAACAGTGCGGAAGCTTTATAATTTAACCAAACATCATGAAATCTTTGCATCCGTACATCTCCTCCGTCACGCTGCCCTCCAGGATGTACTTCAAGGTCAACCCCTCCATGATTACCTACGTGTAACAAGGGGAAAAAGAGGCTACACGCTCAGCAACGAAGCTGAGTGAGAAATATCTAACAGTTCGAACATACACATATGCGAACCCATTAATTCATAATCATAACATGATATCATGCACGTAGGTTTAATATCATGCAGTTCACATCAACAATTCATCATATAATTTACCTGGCACCTGCCCTTCTTCAGTCTCACCAAAATGAAGCATCTCTTGCAGTGGTGGATCACCATTCATCTGTACTGGAACTCTATACTAGACTAAGGACTTATTACTTTTCTAGGAGTCATGATTGTTCCCACTGGATCAGCGGATCATGCTCAATCAACGAGGGAGTTCTCACGGTTGGTGGATCACCAAGAACTTGTCCCTATTAACTATTCTAATCTAAGGACTATAACCTTACTGTATGGGAGACATGAGGGTTCCCACTGGATCAGCGGGTCATGCTCAACCAACGAAGGAGTTCTCCGTTGGGTGGGTGGAATCCCCACCTGATGGATCACCAGGCAGTTCAAGGATACCCGTACGTACGTTTTTACCCAGTTTGACTTAACCATTGGAGCCCAGCAGGCATCCACCTGGTTTATACTCTTAACTTCCTATATTCATGTCAGTCCCAAAGATTCCCTTTGGGTAGACTTACCTTACCAACGCGTTGGATCAACACGCGGTACCTATTTGCTGTGTGCTGGATCAGCCCACTCATACTTGCAATATCATATCCAAACATATGTATTTCACATAATCACACACGTGTTGGATCACCATAATAATATCAGTTCACATAAGTGTTGGATCAACACAAAGCAATCGCAATCATAACACATAGCGGCCTAGAATTGGGTATTGATACCCAAACTTACCGTCATACAACACGTAGGGTCTCAGAATCAATCCTTGACAAAAACGCATATCGACAAACTCGGCATCAGGTACCAGACGGTACCTGTCACGGTACGGGGTGCCGTCCTTACGGTACCTGGGTACCGGTCCTACGGTACCCGGGGTACCGTCCAAACCACTTGGGCTCTTCCGGTAGGGCTGTCACGGTAGCCGACTACCGACCAGGCGGTAGGGCCTACCGTCCGTCCGGTACCTAGGTACCGAACGGTCACAGCTACCGACAGAGGAGAACGGACAGACAGGGTGTGACGGGAGCTAGGTATCATCCTGGCGGTACCGCCTACCGTCTGACACCACCAATTCCATATTCATACTTGTTTCGTTTTTCCAACGTCAAACAAACAGCAATTTCATACTCATCAACTTCAATAAGTTCATCATAACGTTCCAAACATTATCAAACTCGTCAATCAAGGCCTAAGTCATGCACACTACCCCTTTTTGATTCAACGACAACAATTCCCAAAACCATAACCAACAATTTCATAGACTAATCACATAGGTCAACCATGATAATAATTATGAACGGAATTTCAAACATATATGCACATTCTAGTGTTAGATGTCCACGTACTCACCTCGATTTGTCGATTCAATTTTAGAGAATGCCGTTCGAATTCTGTCGTCGGAACAGATTCACCCTGCTGCCCAAACTGGTACGGCTGTCCAGATTACACCGCTGCCCGGGATGGCTGGGATACGGAGGGAGGTCGCTGGAGTTGCTGGGTCGTTTGCCGGAACAGAGAGCCGCCCCGCCGCTGACCCGCCATCACTGGAAACTAACGAAACAGCGGGAATCGCCGGAGGGACCCACTGGTTCTTCCTCGCCGGAGGAGAACCACTAGAGCCCGCTGGTTTGCCGGTTGTCACTGTCTTCGTCTCCATCCACGACCTCGCCGGGGTCGTCACCCGCGCCTACAGCCGCTGTCGTCCCTGGGTCGAGGAGGACCGTCATCGCTGATGGGGCTGCCTGCGCTGATCGCTGGTCAGAGGAGAAGACTGAGGTGGTCACAGCCTCTGCTGCCGTGGAAAACCACTGTGCGCTGCTGCATCGTCGGATCGAAGAAGCAAGAGGAGGGTGGCGGCGGTTGAGTCGAAGGAGAAGAAGGAAACGGGAGAGGGAGTATTTATATTTCTAGGGTTTTGTGCTCCGTAGTCTAAATTAACGTGTCTGAGTAAAAACACACTTTTCGGGCCAACTTGCTCCGAATTGAGATCTGTTCGCACCGTTGGATTCGATTCATCAATCCCTACCCAACGATGTAACTCTTATATTCAATTGACAAATATTTATACGTCCCACCAGATCCATCTTAATTCTTTCGATTAATTATTAGTACCGATCACTCTTTTACTTTAAATCTTTACAATTACAATCAGATTAGTTTCGTTATATTGAGACAATTAGAATCTCTAAAATATCTTTCAATTCTTTAAAAGACTAGATTATCATAAATAAATAATTATTACTCCCTCCGTCCCCCATAGATCTTCTCAATAGCCCTTTTTCTTTGTCCACAATAAATCTTCTCATTTCATTTTTTTTCAATTAAAATACCATAACTACCCCCACTTACTTTATTTATTACACCTCACCCACCTCATTTAATACACCCCACCCATATTTCATTAAGGGTATTATGGTAAACTTTCACCTTTTTTCAACTTTCCTTAAAAACCACCAAAAGTCAAAATGAGAACATCTTAGGGGGACGGAGGGAGTATTTAATTAATTAGCGAATAACTTCTAGACCGGTTTCTAGGGCGTTACAGTTGGGCTCAGACTAGAACATACATGCGAATCAACTAAACTAGAGAAAAGAGTAAAACGCTGAAGAACGGAGGCGTATGATGCATCCAACGAGTCAAATAACATAGGAGGAGCATTGTATCAAAACGACAAGTCATTACAAAAGGAAAGAAAAAAAACAACAAATGTTTACAAAACTCTAGGGGAACAACAGGAGAAGTTAGACGCTCGCGCTGGGATTTTCACCCACCTTGGAGGTGGCTAAGCTGGTCCCCTGATCCTGGTCGCCCTGACCGCCTTCCACTTCTTCTTCTTCCTCTTCTTCCGACGCACTCGAGCTCCCCCCGTCCAGATAAGGACTGGGGTCGAACTCGGCCAAGGAGCGGCAGGGAGGAGGGAAGCCAAGGTCGGGGAGAGAGAATCCCTTGGGGAGCCGAGCCAGTCTATCGCGGAAAACCTGTTGGGCGCAGAAGAGTCCATAGTTGAAGGACTTGGTGCCCTCCTTGACCATCCATTGGGCCCCAGGTTCGGTCTCGAGCCAAGCCGTCGTCAGCTTTTCCATCCGCTCCATCGCGACCACCGTAAAGTCAGGAGAGGACTTAAAGGATTCTATCGCTTCCTTTGCATGGCGGACTCGGTCGCTCCTCTTCACTTCCAACTGTTGGATCAGGTCAGTTTTCTCCCCCTCCAGCTCGAGCACGCGGGCAGAAACAGATTCTACCTCCAAGGACAAGGAGACCTTGTCTGCTTCAAGGGCGGCACAGCGGTTCTCTTGGGAAGTTTTCTCCACAGCAAGCGCTGCGCAGTGATTTTCTTTCTCCTCCAACTCCCTTGTGAGTCGAGCGACCTCTTCTTGCAGCTCCTTCTGCTTGGCCTCGGCTGCTTCCGCGGTGGCCTGGCGACCCCGTCTCCTACCGACCACCTCGATCATCCCTAGCGTGGCCTGCACCAAGGCATGTGGATCAAGAGCGTAAAAAAAAGAAGAGGATGAGTGCAGGAAGAATCAGCGCAAGTACCTGGCTTAGCCTCAAGAGGACCATATTATCGAGGTCGTCCTCAGAACCGGCCGAGATGCGGGCTTGGTCCTCCGCGGGCAAGGTGATCAGGGTCTCCAGTTGCACGTCCCCTAAGCTTTGGGGCAGAGGAGGAATGCAAAGTCTCGTCCAGCGACCACCAGTCGCCACCTCGTAGGTCACTGCGGGAGGCGAAGGAGGTCGCTCCGAAGCAACGCCTCGTGACGACCCAGCGAGGTCGCCACCCGGCCTCACAGAGCGAGGAGGGGAATAGCCAGCCATGGTACCAGTCTCCAGAGTAGCATCCTCTTGGTCCTCCACCACAATTACAGCTGGCTCTCGGGAAGGACTCCCTTCGTGGTGAGACGAAGAGCGCTTGCCCTGGCCTTTCGTCTCTCTCTTCCTCTTCCTCCCTGCAGTGAAGCGACTGAGCAGGAGTTCGCTGTCCATCTCTTCACCTGGATCTTGTAGTTCCACTGGAAACAAAGGAAATGGTCAGCCTTGGAAAAGGATAAACTAAACATCTGGGCAAAAGAAAAGGTCAATTACCAAAAGGACCACAATTAAGACCTTCCTCAGGAATGTCCTTCTGCTGGTCAGGCTGATGCCCCCCAGGGTTGTCCCTCAATAGGTCGGGTTGGTGGCGGAGCTCATCCTGAACAAACTCAAACCCCAACCCGGCAAGGGTTTCCTCTGTCACCACCTCTTTGATGTTCATAACTCCTTTGTTGCAAAGTTGGCGAGTGATGGACAAAAGGGTGGCATCAGATGGGGGGCATGGGACGCGGCGGAAGGAAGGGCGCCCTGAACCCGTGAAAGGAGATTCGGGCCCCGTCGAAACAAAGACAAAGAAAGGCTTCCAGTCTTTGGTTGACCCCTTCTTGTCACTCGCAAAGAGTTTACTGGATCTCTGGGAAAGGCTGGCATAGGACGCCCAATCCTTATGGCCCTTGGTCAGTTTGAAGGTGAATAAGAAATGGTCCAAGGTTGGTTTCACCCCTACATCTTTGCACCAGACCAGATAACCGGCGATATACCGATGAGAGTTGGGGACCAACTACATGGAAGAAAGTCCACCACATTGAGGAATTCGATCAAAAGCGGGTGGAGTGGGAAGCGCAACCCCTTCTTCAAAGACGCCAGATGGACCGTGAAAAACCCTGACGGTGCGTCTAAAGCAGTCTGCGTACTGGTAGGTCTCATGACCTCGATGGAGGGACCAACCATATCAGTAGCATCGGCAAACCCCCGGTCAGTAATTTGACAATGGCACAGCGCCATGATGTTTTCGTCCAATCCAACCCTCAAGCCCTCATCTACCGGAGTCGAGGAAGGGAATTGCTTCCTCAATCGGCACCGTCTGTGGCCAGGCGCGGCCGACGGCGACGGCTGGGGTGATGGAGCGCGGCCGGGGTTACGGCCAGAGGCCGATTGATCGGCTTGGCGAGAATTGGACGATGGGGTAGCCGAATCGGAATCTGAAACAATCATGGCAGCGAGAAGAGAAACTGACCTGGAAAGAAAGAAGAACAGGTCGGGTAGCAGCGGGTTTGCAGACGAATAATGGTGAAGGAAGCGAGAGAAAAAGATGGCGTCCAGCGGCGGTTTTAACTGACAACAGGAAATCGAATCGGCGGGCCATGATTACCTATTTGTGGAGATCGTGCCCAGACGTCACGCGGAACCCAAGGAACGGCCCGGATCCCCGCTGGAGCGCCCACGTGGACTTTGCAAACTCCCCATTCTTCCACCTGGCCCAGTTGAAGAATGAGGAGTTGGGGGGCTTATGATGGGCCGATAACCAATGGGCGGCCCAAATGAATCATTTACACAGCCTCGAGTTAAGCACCTGTGAAATACTCAAGCTTGGGCCGGCCCGTGGAGCTGGGCTTAGTTAACCTCAGGCCAAGCGTAGCTGGCAGAGTCAGTCCGGAGAAGGAGACGGAGCAGATTGGCCGTTACGAAGCCGGAAAAAGGGGATCGCGCCCTTGGCGGGATAAACTCCATCGATTATGCGTTACCTTAATGGCTTAGAGATCATGTATAAATAGAGGAGACCCGAGAGGGGAGAATTCAAGCTAAATCAAGCTAATAAAACATACTCAATTCTCGAATTCTCATTCTTAATTTTGTTCTTACGATCCGCTTTGTGAATCAGATCATTTGGTGGATTTATTGTCCATGATGTGTTATTCAAAATGGACTCATTGAACCACCCTTCACTGGCTCTCCCTTTACATGGCATGGGTCTAGAAGTCTGGGCAAAATTTGGAGGTGACTTGATAGAGTTTTTCTCAACTCCCATCTTGAAGATCTTAATTGCTCTATAACCACTGAACACCTAGCCAAAGGTGGGTCTGACCATTCCCCCATCCTCCTCCTAATTAGACAGGATGACTTTAAGGGCCCAACACCTTTCAAGTTCCTTAACTGTTGGACTACCAACCCTTCATTCATCAGCCTTATCAAAGACAACTGGGAGCCCTACAGGGGAGGAGGGATGAGAGGCTTAAAGGAAAAGCTAGGCCATCTAAGGAGGATCATACAATCTTGGAACAAAAATACTTTTGGGAACATTTTCAAGACCAGAGTCAATCTTGAAAACACCCTCAGACAAGCTGAGTATGCCTACACTGACAACCCTAGCCAGGACAATAACTACAGGATGCAGCAAGCCAGATCAGAACTTAACAAGTGCCTAGCCACAGAATACTCATACTGGAAGCAAAAATCTAATCTGAAATGAGTAAAGGAGGGGGGACCTAAATACCAAGTTCTTCCAAGCCTTTGTCAAAAATAAGAGAAACTTTCAAAAGATACAAAAAATCGAAAACAGTGAGAACAAATGGCTGCTTGAATGGGAAGAGATTGCATTAGAGGCCACTTCCTACTCCAAAAACCTTTATCATCATGAGAATTCTCACCTCTGTCCTGAAGTCCTTGACAACATCCCCCTCACCCTAAACCCTTCTGATAATCATTTTCTTAGCAACCTACCTTCCATGGAAGAGGTTAAAACTGCCATTTGGGATCTCTGCCCTTACAGCTCTCCAGGCCCTGATGGCTTCACTGGCCACTTTTTCAGAACCTCTTGGGACATTATCAAAGAAGACATTTGGAAAGCTTGCCAGGAATTTTTCCTTGGTATTCCCCCTCCCAAAAGCCTAACCCAATCCACCATCATCCTAATCCCTAAAATTGAAAATCCCTCCACCTTCTCTGATTTCAGACCTATTTGCCTTTCTAATTTTATTGCCAAAACCATTTCAAAGATCTTGGCCACTAGACTTTCATCCATTCTCCCAAGCATCATAAGCCCTGAACAAGCTGGTTTCATGAAAGATAAGCTTATTCAAGACCAGATCCTAATGGCCCAAGAAATGTTTCATGGTCTAGGTCATAAATGCAGAGGGGGTAATCTGGCTATCAAATTGGATATGTCTAAAGCATTTGATCGAGTTTCTTGGGATTACCTGCTAGAAATATTGAGGAGATTTGGTTTCTCAAACCAAACTACACACCTAATCCACAATCTGTTGGTCACTACAAACCTCTCTCTAAACATAAATGTCAAAACTACCAAAGCTTTCAAGACTTCTAGAGGCTTAAAACAAGGAGATCCCCTATCCCCCCTCCTTTTCATCATTGCTTCTGAAGGATCCAGTAGGACTCTTAACAATCTAGTCCTAACCAAGTATATTGCCGGCTATAACATGGGAAGGAACTACCACCCTATCTCCCACCTAGCCTTTGCAGATGATCTTATCATTTTCACTAATGGGTCAGGGCCTAACCTTAAACACTTTCATACTTTCCTTAGTAAATATGAAAGGTGCTCAGGTCAAAAGGTGAATCTTGATAAATGCAACTTCTTCACCCCTCCCAAAACCCCCAGCCACAGAATTCACTACATGTGCAGCACCCTAGGGATGAAACATGGTACCCTACCTTTTAAATACCTGGGAATTCAAATCTTTAGGGGNGAACTACCACCCTATCTCCCACCTAGCCTTTGCAGATGATCTTATCATTTTCACTAATGGGTCAGGGCCTAACCTTAAACACTTTCATACTTTCCTTAGTAAATATGAAAGGTGCTCAGGTCAAAAGGTGAATCTTGATAAATGCAACTTCTTCACCC